AATTAATACTATTATCTTCTTATGGGTTGAATATGAATACTTGTGTTGGCATTACTTGCAATAAAATCCTGAGAACTGTTAAATATATGAATACATTAACTAATACAAATGAAATTATATATTTCTACACTTGAAGAAGACTGAGAAGGACAAACATGCTATGTACACACTCATAAGTGGATACTAGGTGTAAAGCAAAGGATAATCAGACAACAACCCACAACTCCGGAGAACCTAGCTAACAAGGAAGACCCAAAGAGGGACACATGGATCACTCTCGGAAGGGGAAATAGACGAGATCTCCATGAGTAAACTGGGGATGAGGAGTGGGCAATGGAGGGTAAGGGATAGGGGATGAGAACATAAGGGAATGGGATGGTTGAACTGGAACAGGGATGGAGTGGGAAAGCAATGAAAGAGATACCATGATAGAGGGAGAGATCAAGAGGATAGAGAGATATCTGGTGCTAGGTAATTTGCCAAAAAATCCCCAAGGATGACCCCAGCTTGGACTACTAGAAATAGTGGAGAGGGTGCCTGAACTGAACAAGCTTACTCCAGTGATCAGACCAGTGGAATCCCTAAGTGTCATCACAGAGCTTTTCTCCAAGGACTGATGGAAGCAGATGCAGAGATCCACAGCCAAACACCAGACAGAGCTCCAGGAGTCCAGTCAAAGAGGAAGAAGAGGGCTTCTATGAGCAAGTGCATCAGGATCATGATGGGGAAACCTGCAGAGTTGACCAAACCAAACTAGTGGGAACTCTTGAAAGCTGGATCAATGGCTGCCTGATCAGTGGAGCCTGCATGGGACTGGACTAGGCCCTCTGCATAGCAAGACAATTGTGTAGCTTGATCTGCTTGGGTGGTCTCCTGGCAGTAGGATCAGAATTCATCCCTGGTGCATGAGCGGGGATTTTTGGAGCCTACTACCTATGATGGGACACCTTGTGCAGCCTTGAGGCAGGGGGGAAGGGCTTAGGCTTGCCTCTACTGAATGTGCCTCTCCATAGGAGGCCTTGCCTTCTTGTGGGGTGGGGTGGGGATGTGGGTTGGGAGGGAGGACTGGGGGGCAGGAGGAGGGAAGAGGGGGATTTTTGATTGGTATGTAAAATGAGTGAGAAAATTTTCTTAATAAAAAATGATTAAATAAAATAAAAAAAGAAGATACATTAGCTAAAGGATAAACTGTTGAGACTTACAAAAGTGTGTTTGAAGTGCAAAATAATTATGGTGAGTAAAAGAAACAACAAAATACCATATACTATACAATTTCTATTTTATAAAATTTTATAAGGACTAATGTATAGTGACAACCGTGAAATGCAGATGGAAAATAACATAAGAAAATATGGAAATATGACAGACATGCATATTATCTAGTTGATGTGAATATTTATCTGAGCCCATGCCAGAAAAGGAACTGATAAAGAAGATAAAAATAGTATATTTCTTCAACTAGTAATGCCTTCACTTTCATCACATCAGTTCATGTTATTTTCTAAATGAAAATTGTGATAATCAATGAATCTTTTCCCAGATTTAAGTTTTGACTATTAGTCTTTGAGCCATTTAAATGCATGCAGTTTCTCCTGTTGCCTCTTCCATTTCCATAAACAATTGAACTAGATAATTCACAAAAATTTTCTAATGCTACAGTATCATGAATATACCTCAAAAGCAAAATAGGAAAGACTAGTAGATGCAGAAATACTGTGGTTTTATGGATTAACTTGATTCACTATTTTTCTGTTTATAAGAAACTCATAGCAACATATTGCATACTTGAGATACACATAAAGGAATTAAAAAATATCTCTGAACTTAGAAAGCAATTTGAGATAGAGTTGAAAGATTTGTTTTCATGGTGATTCTAATTCCATCAAGATGGCAAAGATAAAAAAATTCCAGAAACTCTTTCTTTTTCCTTTCTTTCTTTCTTTCTTTCTTTCTTTCTTTCTTTCTTTCTTCCTTTCTTTCTTTCTTTCTTCCTTTCTTTCTTTCTTTCTTTCTTTCTGGTTATGGGCTTGTAGCTGAGTCGTGGCTTTCTTGAGTAAACTAATCTTGACAAGGAGTTGAAATCTTAGTGACATCTTAAAAAATTCTTTGTAGTACCAGGTAGCCTGTGTGGAGGTTTCATAGATAAAATGTGGGTATTTCTAGGTGAGCCATATTCTGCCTATTGCACTATCTATAGTCAACTTTGGACTCATTATTATGGTCTTTATTTAATTGGATCTATTGCTGACATATTCATTAATGTTTCCTATGGCATTATTGTGGCATGATGGCTATGTCCCTCGTGATTCAAATTCCTCTTTGTTCACTTTTTGCTAATTTCCGGGGTTTATATTATTTTTTAAATATTTTTTCCAGAAAAATAATGCATATTTGAAACAATGACTTTATTGTCTAAGTGTATTAGTTAGATTTCAAAGACCATGATAAAATATCTGAGAGGAACAATGGGAAGTAATTATGGTTTATCTTACTACAAAGTTTTAGAGGCTTTTGTTTCATGATTACTTGGATATTTTGCTTTCTAAGATTGTGCAAAACAGAGCACCATGGTGGTGGAGGCATTCGAGAGTGGATTCAGAGTTGGGGCTGGAGTTAACAATATTTATCTGATTGAATATGTACATAAGGTGTTCTGCTTCCTGTATTTTGAAGCATTTCCCAATGTGGTCATAGATAACATATTTAATGCACTGATTTTAGAGGATACTTAAGATTAAACCATGATAAAATAATGAAAGATGGGTTATTCAAAAGAGTAAACAAGTAGGTTTGTTTATACAAGAAATGTATATATGTTTTGGAATAATTTGTCTTGCTCATTTACTGTTTACTAGATTATCTGCTTGGATTTTTTTATTATTCCTTTTCATTGACAAAGAGAGACTGAGTGAGTGAGTGAGAAAGAGAGAGAGAGAGAGAGAGAGAGAGAGAGAGAGAGAGAGAGAGATAAAGAGGGAGCACATGATACTAGATGAGTAAGGAGTTGGAGAGCATCTGTTGGGAGTCAGGGGCGGGGAACCAGTTGATCAAAATATATTTCAAAAACATTTTTAATAAAATATGAAAAAACAGTAAAAAAATTTGTTATAGTAGACTTTCCATCTCCTTTATAATAACCTTATATAATAATCTTAAAATATTTAAACATAAAACAGAGCCTCTATGACCTTCACAAAATGTTTCTAAATACAGCCAGCACTTCAGAATTTTGCTAATCAAATGCTCATCATTTTCTTCTTCCTGGTTTACTATGTGTTGTTTCCAGTAGGATGCACATGAATGATAAAAGGGCACATACTGTCAGGACACCACCACATACACAGGTTATCATACAGACACCCAACTATTCAGCACTTTACTTGAATATGAACATTCTATTATATGAACCCATGAAATAAAATTATGCTCATAAAATTATTATCCTTTAATAAACTTCAGAAAATAATTGAAGAACAGAAACACTTTTGCCATGAACATTCTGTTTACTATCACATTTTTCACTCACATGATTTTTACTTACTCAGCATGGCAAATTATTGAAGCATATAAAACAGTAAGTAACAAGTGATATACACATATGCACTTTCAGGAGTAAGAAACATGAATGAATAAATATAATCCATCACACTAATATTCAGAATTCAAATGATTAGACGAAGGAGAAAAATATCTATATGCAGTGCAGTAACTTTTACTGTTGTACTGAAGTGCATAATCATTCCTAAACCTAAAAAATGAAGAAATGTTAAGGTGAATTGAAAACTCCCTCTCAATGAATTGATAACTTGAGAATCTACTATTGCAAGGATGGGAATTTATGGTTCTATTAGTTGCTGTTCATTTTCCTTGACAAGTCAGTTCAAAGTTTTAGTAATGTTAGTAACATCAGGAATGATGAAAATCTGAAGACTATTTAAGCTGAATAATGCAACTGTGTAGATTGAGAAGGTCCTGAAAATCCCGAAAAACTTCAGAAGCTGCTTTCAGATTTAAGTTCTTTGATTGCTTAAGAATTATTTTGAAATAATAATGTAATTGTACCATTTTCTTTCTTCTCTTTCCTCCCTCTATACCCCATGTATCCCTTTTACTTTATTTCTTAAATTCAGGGCATCTTTTACTTTAGATATTCAAATATATATTTATATATGTGTGTGCATGCATGTGTGTGTGTGTGTGTACATATACCTGAATACAAAAATGCAATCTGGTAATATATATATATTATATATATATATATATATATATATATATATATATATATATATATAATATATATATTAATTTGAAATATTTAAGATGGCTAAGAGTGTACTTTTGTAGTGTAATTAGGAAAGATATAAAATATTATAAAGAAAACAATATTGTCAAAAATAGTGAAAGATGACAAAATATGAACAGGAGTAAAGCATTTAAGCAGGGTAGAAATGCTGTTTTTTTAGTGCAGTGTCATGAGACAGGATTATGTTAACTTCTCTCTCAGTATTGGTATATGTGTAATCTACATCAATGCATGGGCAGTTACATTAATGTACTACAATAGCTAGTATAAAGTGCATAGTTATTGCTTAGACTCTAATTTCTGGCAGACTAACATATTTATATGTTCACTCATTTAAATGTAGAAGTAATATTCCATAATAACTTATTATTGATAATTACTGATCTATAAAGGATAGAACCGAAGACTAATATATATAAATATGTAAATGGATATTAAGTAATCAATTTCCCATTAAATTTATTCCATGAACAATATCATTCTGTATTTTGTTTCTTTCTACAAAGAGGAAAGGCAACCACATTAAAATCTTTTATTGAGAAAATACTTTCCCTAGGCATAGATCATTGAAGATAGATAACAAATGGTGTAAACATACCAAAGTGGTAAGTGATTATATTCTCAAAGCAAGCATAAACAGAGTTAAGATATTTCTCTAAAAACGGAACCAAAAAACATTTAAAGTAAATGCCTAACACTATGCTTTAAGAAATAACCTTTTTAGAGCTGCAATCACCTCCTTGTTCCTAAGACTGTATATCAGAGGATTGAACATGGGGGTCACAACTGTGTAGAACAGAGAGAGCAGTTTGTCAGTTCCAGGAGAATGCATGGACTTTGGCCTCAAGTAGGTAACTGTAGCTGATCCATAAAACAAAACCACCACTAGCAAATGGGAAGAACATGTGGAGAAGGCTTTTGCCCGCCCTTTTGCTGTTGGTAACCTCAGAATAGTGGCAATGATTTTGCTGTAGGATGTAAGCACCAGTATAAAGGGCAGTGCAGCCACCACCATAACAACCACATAGACAGACAGCTCATGCATGGAAGTGTCCCCACAGGCCAGCTTGAGAATGGGAGGTATGTCACAGAAGAAGTGGTCTATTTGGTTAGAATTGCAGAAATGCAGAGAGAATATCTGACATGTTTGCCCTATCTGGACGGGAATGCCACTGAGCCAGGATCCCACTGCCAGATGGGTGCACTTTGTTGGGTTCATGATCAGAATGTAGTGCAGAGGGTTGCAGATGGCCACATAGCGGTCATAGGACATCACAGCCAGCAGCAAACTTTCAGTAGTTCCAAAAACAAGGAAGAAGCACAACTGAGTGGCACAGGACGTCACTGAAATGCTTCGGTCCTGCATCTCGATGTTGAATAGAATCCTTGGGACAGTAACTGATATGTAACAGATTTCCAGAGAGGAAAAATTTGCCAGGAAAAAATACATGGGTTTCTGTAATGCAGGGTCCATACTGCTTATTACTATTATGAGGGAATTTCCAATCAGGATAATTATATAAACAACAAAAAACACTGCAAATAGAAATCCTTGGAGGTTGCGAAGGTCAGAAAATCCTAGCAGCACAAACTGCATCACTGTGGAAACATTGTCTACGGTTTTGATCTCTTCATGATTCACCTATGGAAAATGTTAATCACAAATAGACATCACTTCTGATTTTGGCCTGTTTAGTTTCATGTATATTTTTCTGACAGCACACAGTTTAGTTTCTCTTTTTAATAATGAAAAGTTTAAATTCCACTGCTCTAAATCTATGATTAAATACATTTTCATAATTAATAAAAGTCCATATAGAAGATGGTCTTTTAGTCTTCTGAGATATATTTTATGTTTTACATTGATAAGATATATTACTTTAAATTGTATAATTCATTTGTATCTGAAACGTCCTATGATTTTACTATGGTTTCTCCAAGGTGTTTTCTAGGCTTGTGTTCTATGGAAATATGTAATTTCAATAAAAAATAAAATAAAGCCATTCATTATCTTAAAATATTAATTATTTCAAAACTGTTTTCCTTCCAATGTAAGTTATATGAAATCCACAAGCATAAATTGTGTATAGACTTTAAGCTGGGTATTGTGTATCTGGATTTTTTTCAATCATTTACCTCCTCACTAATCCTGCTATCAGTAAACTTGTTGTTTTTCCATTCAGTATTGTCACTCTGTGTGTGTGTGTGTTTTCACAACTGTGTGTTCATGCTTATGTTATTTTTTTCTTATGTCTAAATACTGATTAAAAATTTTAAGTCACTATATTTTAACTAAACCTGATGGTTAACAAATAGAATTCTGTTTTACAAAAATAATTTATTAACTTACTGAATAAACTATTGCACATTAAAGTGCCTATTTCACATGAATAGTCCTCCAAAACAAGCTGTTGTTCACAGTTGAAGTTCTGACCCACACCAGTTGCACTTTAAGCACATCTTACATATGTGTCTGTGTTCGTGATCAGATAATGGTTGTGAGTAAGAATGTGGGTGAATTATTTTCTACCCATTCAATCATGTATTGATCATGTATATCAAGTAATTATTTATATTATGAGCAATCTTATGTTCATATTATGTTGTAAATAACAGGAAAATGAAACTAAGTAGCTCACTATAAAGAGGGAGAGACTGCATCATCATTTGTTAACAGTGTAAGTCTGGGCAATGATAAAGAAACAAACTTCCAACATATATTAAATATAAATGTATTTTTTCTGTAAATTATTAAAATATTATGAATATCCTGTTATTATATTGTAATTCTAATTAGAAAATAATGATAGAGATTGAGAACACATGCAATGAGGTCTCACAACAGAGACAGTAGAGAATACCAGGGGCTCAGAGACTTGGGGATAGGGTGAGATAGAGGTAGATGGACATGAAGCTGTGGTTGGCTTAGAAAAAAATAAAATTCTACACTTCTATTGGAAAGCAGAGACTTAAGAATTTTATATTGTGTTTCTGGTTAAAAACATAACAAAACTGTTTTTGAACATAGTCACCATAAAGGAATTATGCATATTTCTGACAATAATTTACTCAGATTATAAAAGTGTAATATATCAATGTATTATATCAGAATTCCATTACTCCAGTACGCATACAATTAACTTATCAGATAAAATAAAAAAGAAGAAAGAGCAAAAACATAAGTAGATGCCTTTGTAGGAACTCTGATAACTGAGTTGCTAGGATATATATAATTTAAGTAAGTAGTGACATTACTGTGGAGTGGTTTCAAGTTCAAACTGAGCTTTCTCTGTAAGTACCATCACTGTAAAGTACCATCACCATGTGACAATCCACAGATTCATTCCAATTGAAGAAAAAGACTAAGATAGGGAAACAAGATGGAAAATAAGGGAAGCCTTTTAAAAAAAGCATGATAGGATGTAAGCCAATTTAATATTATCCACTATCTAACTTACTTAATTGTTATATAAAATTGTGCTTTTTGGAGACCTTATTTCTAGACTTGAAATACACAAAATATTTGAGTATCTCTTAAAAAGATTATTTCATTAATAAATATTGCGAGTCAAATAAAGATATTGGTGAAGTTGTGATAATATTTACTATTTAAACTTGCTTTGCAATCAAGTGCTTTCCATTTCTTTCGTGTGATTACTTAGCAATTATATCCAGAAATGTACAAAGTCTACCTCAATCAGTGTTTAAAATTTAAGCATTAAAGGTTTATCTAATCTCTGTAATTGAGTGTTGTTTCTGGTGTTTGTATACTTGTACAAATAACCTTGTATTTGACAAATCATTTCACACTTACCTATTTGATTCTATGCTGCATATAATACTTACCATTATTGTTTGACCCCAAAATGAGGGGAAAAGATAATTTTCAGCTCATGCAGTTTATTTAAAACAGTTGCTAAATGCCTTCTCAAATGTCTCAGATTATAAAGTAACTATATTCCTTAAGTAATAAGATTCACTACCCTGGGGATCAATTCTTTTCCCATGCAACCTTCTAACTGAGATATTAATTCTGCTGTCACTCAAAGAGATAGAAACAACAACCAAACTAATATCCAGACAGGTTATTTTAAGAATTTCATGCATATATATGTACACACACATATATATATATATATGTATATATATATATATATGTATACACACACACACACACACACACACACATATATATATATATATATATATATATAGATAGATAGATAGATAGATAGATAGATAGATATATGTTTTGGTTAAATCAACTCTGCATACCCTCTTCTTCAATTTCTTCCCATCTCTACCACCACTTTTTGCTCTCAACACCCAAACTCCCTTCTTCTCCCTGAGTTAAGTTTGTACTGCACATATGTGTATGGGTTTAGAGATATCTGCCTGAGTACAGACAACCATTTAGGCACCACATTCCTGAATGAAATGCATTCCTCATTCCTAAGCGGCCATCAATTGCCAATAGTGTCTCAGATAGTGTTGGGGCTTAATAGAGCCGTCCCTGTTCCATGCTGACAGTTATGTTGGCTTGATCTTTTCCAAGGCTTGTGCATGTAGTTCCATCTGCTATGAGTTAATGTATGCTACAGTCCTGTTATGCCCAAAAAGTACTGATTTGCTTCAGATGTCAACTTCCTCTAGCTCTTAAATTATTTCTTCACAAAGTTAGCCTTGAGAGGAGTAGGTGTAATATATGTATCTCATTTAGTGCTGAGTACTCCACATTCACTTATTTTATACATGTTGCCAACGTTGGAAGTCTTTATTAATTACCAGCTAATACAAAAAGGAGTTCCCATGGTGATGGTAGAGGAATGCACTAATCTTTATGATTTTCAACCTCTACCATTTTGTAATCAAGTAATATGACCTTTGAAAACATCAGCATATTATGACTTTATATGATTTATGAATTACGTAAGATATTCTTTAAAATGGTGACAAATAGGCAAATGCCTTAATGTAAGATGAATTTTATTTTTCTATCATTAAAAAAAAAAGAGGTATCAGAAATCAAAAATTGTTCAGGCATCTACGTGATCTTCAACCCTACTCTTTCTTCTCTATGTTTTGTGTTCCAGCCAAGCCTCTATATTCTCTACATTATAAAGGTAGAATAAAGAAGAATAATAAATAATTAATAAAGAAGAATGGATGTTAATAAGGCATGTCAATTATGCCTTTTGTGGGAAAAAATGCCAAATAGTGTGCAGACTATCTGCACACAATTCCTTCTGTAAATTTAGTCACAAAACCATAGCAAGCAGAAAGAGTTTATTGAAAGATCAATTTCTTGCTCACCCCCTAGAGGACCAGAGAAGACAATTGCTGTCTTTAGCATCCCTCAGTTTATAAATCTAAAGCTCCAATAAGTGACTGAAACATATGCTTAATCAGATCACATTAACTATAATGGTGATTTCTCATCTTATAATGATTATAAATTACAGAATGCATATGTATAACCTTTATGTAGACATAACCATATGGAAAATAGTTCAAAAACAAATGGAAGAGGATGCTTAATATAGTCTAAGGAATATTTTATGTAAGTACAATACTAATTTGTAGATACAGAGACAATTACATTAGAGAGGCAGTCTATCTACACATTGAAAGTTGTCAGTTTGCAAAAGTTATATATTTCATCAATTTTGAGTTCTATCATTTGTGATTTATTTCGGCTTAGTTATAGCACTAATATATACTTTACTTTATCACTATACTCATTGGGGTTATACGAATCTTAATGGTTAATGATGGTAACCATATTTTGTAAGACATTTCTATCATTTGCATACCTCTTTGGGTAGAGAATATATTAAATTATTTTCATGTTTGTTTATTATGGATTTTTCATCTATAGCTAAGAGTTTGGGGTAAATATTATGTGAACATTCCCCTTGTTATGTAATTAATTTGCAAACATTTCCCATTTTTTTAAAAAAAGTTTTCAGCCGGGCAGTGGTGGCGCTCGCCTTTAATCCCAGCACTCGGGAGGCAGAGCCAGGCAGATCTCTGTGAGTTCGAGGCCAGTGTGGGCTACCAAGTGAGTTCCAGGAGAGGCGCAAAGCTACACAGAGAAACCCTGTCTCAAAAAACCAAAAAAAAAAAAGTTTTCTTCAGAATCAATTATCTAAGTTTTGCTAAAATCCAGTTAAATCATTTTATTTTATGGATTATACTTTAGATAACATAATTTACAATTACTTAACATGTTTTTTCCCTGATTCTAAAGCTTAAGCTTTAATTTGAAGTAATTGTCAATTTACTGTGCAATTGCATATGTGTGTGGTTTTGTGCATGTGTTTTTTCTATTTAGTATTACCATCTGCTAAAAAAACTATTCCTTTACTATAAAACAGAAATACTTTAAAAATTCTTTAAATGAATTAATTTTCTTTATTTTTTAGTTTAACAGCTCTTTCTACCAATTATAATATATATATATATATATATATATATATATATATATATGCATTGTACTGTGATCATATTACTTCCATTATTCACTCTTACCTCTCAAAGACCTGATGACACTTTTCCTCTGCCCAAGTACCACCCTTCTATTTTTATTTCATTTTTTTTAACCACTGAATTTCATTTGGCTCTTTGTCTGCTCAT